TTAGACACTCAAGGTTTTGCTTTACAGCTTCTTCAGGAGCATTCGCTAGAGCATTTTGAAGCTTTGTTCTGTCACTGGTTTGTCCTGAAGAAGCTGTAAAGTGAAATCTTGAGTGTCTAATTAAATAAAAACAACATTTTGGTGTTATAAGGTTGTGTATTTCTAGTATTAATGTGTCCTATATACACTAATATGCACTACAGAAATTAAATAATTATGAACTCTTGTTAATTGTTTTCAGGATGGATGCGACTTAATTTGTCGTTGTGGGCCAAGACAGGAAGAGCATGCTTACCGGGGCATTGAAAATCAAATACCGAAATATGAGGAGGAGGATCGAGATGATCAGCTTCTAACTATGTGAAATGTGTGACTGACCCGTGTGAGTCTGTTATTTTATTTGTTTTAAGTTGTGTTTGTAAATGTAGTTTGCTAGCTACCCAGTCACGGAAATCTCAATAGCATTTATATTGGAAGATTTAAAACAAGTCAAGTTTTTTGATAAATAAAATAAATGATGAAGTAGATTTGATTCTTTTTCATTTGTAAGAGTACATTAACGACATTTAGATTACCTAACTCAGTGTTTCCCAACCTTTTTTTGCTGCAGCTTCTCCTTCAACAAACAATGAGCACTCAAGCCCCCCTTCTAATAAAATTTATAGGCCATTAAAATATTTTACTAAAATGAAAATTTTAAGGCAATAATAGTCAATTCTTATGATTCAATTTTAACAAATATAACTTTGAAACCCTCAAAACTTTTCTGTTGCTCCCTCAAAGCTTACTGCCCACCCCCCTGAATTTAAAAACACCCACTAGAGGGCAGTACCACCCACATTGCTAAACACTGACCTAAGTCATTAAAACCTTCACCCAGGGTAGTTTTTAAGACTTCAAAGTACAATTTTTTAAGGGGGGCCCATTAGTATTGATCAGCTATAAAATTTCGAATTTATTTTCGTTTTAAAATACAATAAATAAATAGTTTTCCTATATACAATATATATGTAAATTATAGAAAAAATCAATTTTGAGGAAATAAACACCTTACAGTCTGTTAGTTATTATATTACTAGGGGGCCCTTCAATACATTGCACCAATGTTAAAAATACCTTTGTCTAAAAGATTTACCACTTAAAACAGTGTAATATATGTATACAATAACAGAGTTCTTGAACTGTCGTATCCGTATACAAATATATCTTATCACAAGAAATCAGAGACTAGATTATCTACTGTACTACAAATCGGCCTCAATAAGAACATTTTTCGAACACTATTTATTTCAATAATCATTCTGTAATAACTAAAATGGGCAGAGTGAGTCAACTTTAAGCCTCGTGCAAAATTCCATTCTGGGGCCCCTTTGCAATAGTTTCCTTTTCTCACACTCCTAACATTGCTCCCGTCTTAAATGGGAGCAGAAAAAAGTACAATATATGTTGGCTATGATTGGTCAATCACACTGTTTTCAGCACCAATAAAACATGATGCTTCTTATTTAGTAACAATTAAACTGAAAAACGTTTACACTAAAGTCCAAACTAAAGACACATGAAGAATTTATGTATCAATACTTTGCTTGTAAAAGATTGTCTTGTGAATTTTGTTACATGTTTAACTTCACAGTAAACTATTCACATAACATTCATTTTTATATTATTAAGTAGGGTTAGTTATTTGCTTTAATGTAAAAGCATGTTTAGACGCTGCCGAGTACCACATAACCACTGTAGGGAAATACTTTTTTATTTTTGTTAATTTTCTGTTTACCACAATCGGTCAAATTAAGGAATTTGTTCCTGTTTGTATTTATTTGCGTGTTGAACACTTGTTAATATCAATAAAAAAGTAAAGTTTAATTGATGACCTTATGATCTCATAACTGTGTAAAGCTGAAGTTTATTTGAAATAACATGTGCATCATATTTTAAGAATTGTTTTTTTTCCTCTCTGGAATACTCCAACACGTGAAACTATAAAAAAGAACAATTTAAAAAATAGTTTTCTTTATCTGTACTGGATGATTCTTGTAAAATAAACTTTTATTTGACTGGTTCAGTTAATTACTATAGTGTTGATTGTTTTGTTTCTCCACCATAAAACTGATTGTTTATGGTGCGTGCTTTTTACTAAACACCAGAGATCACTCAACACTAAGTTTTGGATGAGAAGGTAAAAATCACAAGTCTTGAAACGAACAGATATTTTAATGTACAAAAAAATTTTATTTTTTAAAAAAAAAACAATAATCATAGAAACTACAACCATTTTAGATTTTTGACCCCTTGCCTGTTCTTTAACCATTTTGCTATACACAGGAAGTTAAACCTTAAATTAGTCTTAAGAGTTGCTTTTAACAAAACAACTAAGGAACTATGATAGTAAATAACACAATGGGTTTTGTAAAAAAAAAAGTTTGTAACCTTATTAGAACAATATACAAGCATGTATCTATAATCACACACAATATAATTTTTCATAAAGAAATATTTTACACAAGTATAATCCTGCAAAACAGATTGAAGTCAAGTTAACAAATCTTTTTATAAACATTTCCTGATTATGACAAAAAAAATGGCATCCCTTCTCGAACTATGAAGCCTTTGAGACAAATATTGCTAGTGATAAGAGTACCCACCTCGTGAATCTTTGTATTCTAAACATTATAGGTTTGCATTGTCTTTGTGGATTAATATGACCTTTTAAAGTCTGTTTGCTACATAAAATTAGCTTCATTAATTTAGTTTTTAAATACTTTTTCACTTAATCGGTGTATTTCTGGTCAAAATGTTTCAATTACATTACTATTTTTAAGGAAGTACTTTAAACTGTTATATAAGATGTACTTTTGCAATGTCTCGAGAAAAAAAACCTGCTATGTGTTTGATACCAAAGCTTGTTTACACAACACAGTATAATATCGAATTGTTGATATTAAAAGTCAGTCAAAACTATACAACATTAATCAAAACTATTATGCCATACGCACACCAACACAATCTGTTTGCTGGTTAACATACTACAAAATAAAGTATTTACAAATACTTGATGTTGCTGTAATTTTCACTTCTTTAAACAAAGAGTGACACTAAATATTTCCTTATTTTTGTAGTATTGAAAATGCTGTAACATTAATCTGTTTGCTGGTTAACATACTACAAAATAAAGTATTTATAAATACTTGATGTTGCTGTAATTTTCACTTCTTTAAACAAAGAGTGACACTAAATATTTCCTTATTTTTGTAGTATTGAAAATGCTGTA